AGTCAATGAAGCAGAAGTAGATATTTTTCTGGAACTCTCGTGCTTTCTCCATGATCCAGCGAATGTTGGCGATTTGATCTCTAGTTCCTCTGCCTCTTTGAACAACACTGCTCTAATGCAATAACTGTAACTCTAAGATAGAGGACATCAGGTTGGACAGGGCTGTCCATAGGGAGAGAATTTTAAAAAATCAAGGGGGCAGCCATGATCACGTGATCAAAGCCTCACCCCTGTTTTACGTGTGTCATGTCTGATGGATTTAAAAAAAGGGCAGGGCTTCCACTGCATAGTTGTAGCCACCATCTTGATTTTTTTGACCCCCCCCCATGGATTCCCTCCCTTTCACAGCAGGGATCAAAAAGTCAAGATGGCAGCCATGATCACATGATTGAAGCCCTTCCCCTTTTGAGCGCAATGCATTGGCTGCTTCGATCCCATGATAATAGCCTCTGCCTTGAATTTTTGACACCCACCCCCCCGACAGCCTTGCTTGATAAGCAGTTATTTTTATAAGCTTTGGTGCAGAAATGTCTCAGTGAAGCGATTAGGTGAATGGGCTGCTTGGCTAACTTGCTGCTGTAATCTTCTGAAACTCTTTTGGTCGGTGTGCTTTAGCGAAAAGTGAGAAATACGTTCTTTGCCTCAGTGAAGATTTAAACGTGCACGTGGAGTCCAGAAGACCTATGTTATAGGAAAGTTGGATCGTACACTTCAAAAAAAATCTGTTTGGCACCTAATCAGACGCCTTGATTTTAATCGGGCACAGAACAGGCCAGCTGCAATCCAGCTGGCAGCGGAGACAGGGAAGTGAAGTTTCCCAGCCATGCAGTTTCTTTTTTTGCTTCCTTGGATCTCACCCACCCTTGTTCTTCTGAATCTCTGCCCGTAGGCAGAGGAGTGGCACTGCACGATTGCATCCGATAAAATGGCCTCTGCAGAAGGTCCTGCTAGATGGCACACATCTGTCTTTCAAGACGCAAGCCTTTGGGTTGATTCTGCGGCAGTAGAGTAACCCAACATCAGAAGACCCTGGTTTTTAAACAGGACTGACAGACTTTAAACATGCTAAGCTTGGTCCAGTTTGTTCTTTGCCAACATCCAGAGTGGTTTGTACGACAACAATGCATTGGACAGCCCAATGGGCGGGATAGATTAAAAACCATGGTGTCCGCTTGTGTGTTTTGAAGAGGTAAGAGATAAACACTTCCAAAAGGAGAAGAAAGATTTGAATAACATTTGCATATACGAACTTTTCTAGGAGAGATAGTTTGGCGTAGGGGTTAAGGACCAGGCTAGAAAGCAGGAGGCTCTGAGTTCTAGTCCTGCCTTAGAAATGAAGCCAGTTGGGTGATCTTGGGCTAGCACTCTCTCTCAGCCCTAGGCAGGAGGAGGAAAGGGCAAACCACTTCCAAAAAACCTTGCCAAGAAAACCACAGGGTCTTGTCCAGGCAGTCGCCAGGAGCCAATACTGACTCAAAGACACACACACACACACAAACTTTTCTAGAGTCATAGACTTGGAAGCCATTACTTTCATTTAAATGGATTTGCGCTATATCTCGCTCAAGTAAGGTGATCTGTGTTCCTGCTTATATGGTTGATAGGCAAATATAACCTCCTGTTTTTCTTAACTTCAGCAATGTTGTTATGGTCAGCCCAAGGCTGCAATGCTCACAGAGGTCCCAAACAAACACCACACGTCTTAAATTCAGCAACAATAGCAGTCCTATTCTGTCCTTTTCATCTTCTGCTTTCTAGAGACCTCTTGGAGAAACTAAACTCTTAGGGCAGATCCTCACTTTCTGCTGGGCCACCACCAGTATAGGCCACTCACCACTTCCTGAGTGCAGGAAAAGATGACATTGTCCTCCACCACCTCCCAGCCCATTGCCAAAGG